CGTATCAGATAAGGGGTTAATATCCAAAATATACAAAGAACTCATACAGCTCAACAACAACAAAACCAACAATCCAATTAGAAAATGGGCAAAAGATCCGAACAGAGATTTCTCCAGAGAAGATATACAGATGGCCAACAGGCATATGAAAAGATGCTCAACATCATTAGCTATCAGGGAAATGCAAATCAAAACTACCATGAGGTATCACCTCACTCCGGTCAGAATGGCTATAATTAACAAGACAGGAAACAACAAATGTTGGAGAGGGTGTGGAGAGAAGGGAACCCTTGTTCACTGCTGGTGGCAGTGCAAACTGGTACAGCCACTGTGGAAAGCAGTTTGGAGTATCCTCAGAAAATTAAGGATAGATCTACCATATGATCCAGCTATTCCACTGCTGGGTATTTATCCAAAGAACTTGAAAACACAAAGGCATAAAGATCCTTGCACCCCTATGTTCATTGCAGCATTATACACAATAGCCAAGACTTGGAAGCAACCTAGGTGCCCATCAAGGGACGAATGGATAAAGAAGATGTGGTGTTTATACACGTTGGACTACTACTCAGCCATAAGAAATGATGAAATCTGGCCATTTGTGACAATGTGGATGGACCTTGAGGGTGTTATGCTGAGTGAAATAAGTCAGAGGGAGAAAGTCAAATACCATATGATCTCGCTCATAAGTAGAAGATAAAAACGACAAAAAGAAAAATCACATAGCATTGGAGATTGGACTGGTGGTTACCATTGGGGAAGGGGGGAGTGGGGAGGGTGAAAGGGGTGACTAGGGTCACATGTGAGGGGATGCACTATAATTAGTGTTCGGGTGGTAAACATGATGTAATGTATACAGAATTTGAAATATGATGTACATCCGAAAAAAATAAAAATTAAAAAAAAAAAGGTAAAGTTTGTCATGTTATGTTTAGCATTTGCTCCAGAATTTTTATTTTATAGTGAAGTATTATTTTTTACATTAAAATAAGCCAGGATGGGTTTGATAAAATTTCATTTTTTATTTCCAGCTTCTGTCATGGTCTCACCTAGTAGTATCTGAGGAACGTGTACAGTGAACAAATTCTCACTTTAACTCATGGCTAAATCAAAAAATGACCAGCGATAATGCTCTTCTTTTTCCTGACCTTTTCCAGGGAAAACATAGCACCTCCCAGTCAAGGTCAGCTGTGGGGCATTTGCTTATAACGTACTGCAGACATGAACAGCAAGGATAGCTGATTTCTTTTGGTCTTGGGTGCTGGTATAAAAAATATTCAATACTGCTACTCCAGCCAGCCATTTGGTATAGTGACCAGTTGTTTGATCTGTGCAGTATATGAAACCAGTAGGCTACCAGTTGTCAGAGTCAGTGAGAAATGTGGGAAATTATGGATTAAATGTGAATAAAATATGTGAGAAATACAGGCTGAGTCTTTCTGCAGAGCATATCAAGAAAAGTCGAGATTCTCACTATAGTGGTTTCCCCCTTTATTGCATGGTAAAATCTACAACTATTTATTTCATTGTTTGCTAAGACTTGTATTTTGCATTAAACCCTTGTGGCAGCAAAGAGAGAAATAAAAAGCAGTATGTGTGGTTAATGGAAAGTTAAATATTGATTTTCTTTTTCTCAACAAAATCAGTGCACATGCAACTTGCTCAAAATACTTGTTAATATTTGCCAGCCACCATAAGAGCTGTAGTGATGTCACTGAAAACCAGAATGAAAACCAGAATATACAAATCTGGTAAGAAACATTTATTTCCAAAGTTAGGAGTTATTTTAAGAAGTCTACCTGAAAATAACATTTTAACAACTGCAACTACTTAAAGTACGTTTGTATTCCATTCTGTGAGGATCAAATTTTCTTTTATATCTTCTAAATTCTTCTAAGTTAATTTCATTCATCTTTAACACCATATAAAAACTTGTCCGTATAAACACATAAAGCCATATCGCTTATTATGTTCACCCTATGAGCAAAATTAATAACCTCTCTGTTAAATAAAGTCAGTGCTGTCAGATAGTTCAAATACAAAATCGGTTAATCTAATAATGGTTCAGTTTTTCACCCAATTAATAAAATCAAAGGAAAACTTTTGGAAGCCATTCTAGCACAGATGAAACATCTGACGTTATTGTAAATACCATTTAAATTCAGTTAAAAAGTTCAACTTTTGAAAATAATTGTTTTTGCATTGATAATACATGTAGTGCCATGGTAAAAAAACAATATTTCATAAAGTTCAAATATGAAGCAAAAATGTTTTTGGAATTGGTTGTGGTACATAAGTAACTCACAACTGTATCCAAACAAGCTATAACACTTTATCAATGAAAATAAAAGCTTTAGTTGTTAAAATTTACCATTATCTCTCTATATATGCAAAGTAGCTGAAGTACAAAATTTTTGTGATAAAACTAATGTTAAATATTAAAAAAAAACTTCAGCCTGGCGGTACTTGTTGTCTTTCTGTACTGTGTGTCATCGGTGGGATTTTAGAACTCTTTGAGCATAGAACTTTGAAGAACTACTTTTAAATTAACTTAATTGTTCTACAAATTGGTATTGAATTTTTTCTTAAAACAAGTGTATAGATCATTGCAACTTGGACATGCTGCTAGTTCATGAACCCTTTGTAACTGGTTCCCAACAGGATAAGGAGCTTGCACCAGAATGTAAATCTGCTATGTCACTAAGCACACAGTTTAGATGAGCTGAGATTTTTTTTTGTAGCAAGGCTTTCTCAGTGAAGAAAGAAATGTGCTCACTTTTGTCACAAGCTCCTTATCTTGCACTTTAAATAGCAAAGAAACTAAAGGTGGCAAAATAAAAAACCAATGTATAACACTTAATAACAACTATAAGTAATCAAATATCCCCACAAACCACAAAATTTGGATGAGTGGGAACAAATCTCTGATAACTACAAGATCTGTGTGGTATCAGCATCTAAATCAGGTGGGGCAATAAAAACCAATTGGGCGTCTGGTAGACCTGGTAACTCCAAAATAACCAACAGCTAGTTGAACGCTCAGCAAGCCAGTTTGACTACAGCAGCTGAAACTGGGAGAGGATGGCATACTCCACTTGTTCAACGGGTTCACAGTCAGAGCTGAAGGGGCTGGAGCAGTCTTGGCCCTATAATCTCTCCAACTAATCAGCTAAAGAGCCCCTAAAGGATAGAACCCTACACTAAGGAGAAACTCCTTAGAATAGAATCCAAATTGAGCAGTACAGGGACAATAGAAACAAAGGGAAAAGATGGCCTGGATGAAAATTGGCGAGGTGAACAGACCCAGGAAATCTCTGGACTTAAGCTGCCGTATTTTGAACATCTTATAAAAAAAAGGAAAAAGAGGAGGACATTCTAGAGATGTAAAATTTAAATATTACTCTAAACCAAGCCTCCCTTCTAAAAGTTTAAGAAAATTAATTTTACATAAAAATCAGCAAAAGAATAGAATTAAGGTCTAAGTCCATACAAAATTATAAGAACAAAAAGAATAAGTAGTGTAATGCCCCTATAGGAATGTAGTTGTGCCAGAAACATATGCCCACAAAATAGATGAGAACTCTAACCTAATATTTCAAAACTAGTTAAAAGTCATTTTAAAAGAATACAATATATGACAGAATTGCATATGTTGGAATTAGAAAAACTCAGAAAAGAGATGATTAAAGTGAAAAAATTAGAAAAACAGAAAAATGTTTCAGAAATGACAACTAAAGACTAATAAGGAACACAACCAAATAAATATGAGGTAATACCTTTGAAATAGAAGGTGGAAAGAAGGAAGATTTTAAAAATCAAAAAGAAATGGAGAAAGGAAAAGGATTCAAGAGATAGAGAGACCTGTGTAGAAGATAGGCAAAGAAGATCCAGCATACCTGTAACAGGGCTTCTCAGAGAAAAAAGTCAAAGAAAGAGAACCGAATAAATAGTAAAACTATAATCCAAGAAAACTTTTCTAGAAAAAATAAGATCTGAAACTACATATAAGGGAAAGAAAATCACCTTGTAACCAGTTTGATTTGGGGCTTTATGCCCAAAGAAATGGAAGTTTCTTATCTAAGATATTCAAGGAAGTAAAAATGTGAATCAAGGATTTTATATCCAGCCAGATTGTTTTTCAAATACAAAGGACAGGCCAATTGTCAGTAACATAAAAGAATTCAGGGAATATTGTTCTCAATAGCCCTTTCTTAGTAATCGATCAGAGAACCAGAATGAATAAAGAGACAGCAGTATGGGGGTTAATGATGAGCAATATTATTAGCAAATTGCAATGCTTTATAGATAGATAAATTCATAGATTTGTCTGTCTTCCCTACTAGATTGTAAATTCTGGGAAGGCAGGAACCATGCCTGTCTTGTCCACACTTGTGTTAGAAGAATGCCTAGTGTATTGAAGGTGCTCAAAGTTGAATGAATTGAGTAAATGTTCATAATAGAAAGAAGGAATCTAACATTTATTGATCCCCTGTTTTTTGCCAGGCAGTATAAAAGGCACTTTACATGTAACTTTTATGTTTACATCAACGATTTAGGTGAAAATGTCTCCCTTTTCACAAATGTTGAAAGCCTATACATGAAGTAGCTTGCCCAGGGTCACATAGCTAACATCAGTAATAGCTGGTCTGTCTGATTCCATTTTTGTTTAGCATAATTATGATTAGGACATTTAAAATGACTTTGTAATATTTTACTTGCTTAAGTAAGAGAGATGTTTTGCCACCTTGTTTCTATTCCTTTCTTTTTGGAATCATGAAGGTAAATTTTAAATGATCACAGATTGAGTCTTTCTATGTTCATTCTTCTACAAATATTAGATTAAAAAATTTTAGTTTATTGAAGTCTATATTAATGGAGTTTTACTCTGTATGTGTGGGCATAATACATTTGGATGTTTGTAGATGAATAATTTTCAGAAATATGTAATCAAAAATGAACTACATCAAATGATAAATTAATGTGAACTTTCTTATTATTAGTATGTTATCAGGTGGTTCAGATGGTGTGATTGTACTTTATGATCTTGAGAACTCCAGCAGACAACCTTGTTACACATGTAAAGCAGTGTGTTCCGTTGGCAGGTGTGTATTGAAAATGTAATTCATAAATTTATAAACAGTTGGGTGTTTTTTGCATCAAATACAAAGCATGAAAATAGCAGTCATGAATATCTCAAGCAAATTGTTCAAATGATCTATTTACATGGATATCCCTTGACATTTTCTTGAAAATAGTAACTGAAATTCAGGTATAGCTGTTTTGTTGGGGTTTTTTTTAAGATTTTATTTTTCCTTTTTCTCCCCAAAGCCCCTCAGTACATAGTTGTGTAATTTTAGCTGTGGGGCCTTCTAGTTGTGGCATGTGGGACGCCGTCCCACCACAGCCTGACAAGCGGTGTGTCATGTCATCGCCCAGGATCCCAACCTGCGAAACCCTGGGCCGCCGAAGTGGAGCGTGCGAACTTAACCACTTGGCCACAGGACCAGCCCCTGGATATAGGTGTTTTTAACATGAGACTTCCCAAAAACAACTTTGGTATCAATTTCCAAAGGATTTTATTTAAAAACTTTTGATTATGTCCTTTTTGTTCTACACCTACATAGCATACCTCAGTAACTAATTATAGTTTTTAGGACCACTTAGTCGAAGATTCATTTATGAGTCTTTCAGCTAATTATAAACACAAATTAGATTTTTCAACTGATGTTAATAGAACAAAAAGATTAATGGCTAGAAGCAATAAATATGTTGGTAGTCCTGCACCAAACACACACACACACACTCACACTCTCACACTCACTCCTCTTACCTCTCTTACCTCTCTACCTACTCAAAACTGCCTAACTTACCTCTCTTGGTCTTGAGTTTTCCGACCCTTCTTTACTGGCTTTCTAGTTTTGTGAGGATTACTTTTAAGTCCCTAATAGAATGTTTTGTGACTTTGTTCTGATTTGCTCATAATGGTTACTTAATTCTTTCTCATCACCTATAACTCATCTGATATTGAACAGACCTTTACATTAACAGAATGGGTTTTGAGGAAATGCTTTCAAGAGGAAAAATTTCATGAACATTAATATCAATAGCCACTCTGTATTAAACCTGTTCCCAGAACACTAGAATAGGTGCATACATCCATGGAATATTTGTGAGAAGATTTCTGATTGTTTCTTGGCTCTGGTGCTTCAGTTTGGAAATACAGATTTGGGAAACTATTTCTCCGAACCTCAGATTATTTTGTCTTCGAGATAATTATACTTGCCCTGTTATTCTTGTAAGGTTTCTGTGAGACTTAAATGAAATGCTATCTTTTAAGAAGCACGTTAAAAACTGTAAAGCCACTATATAAATGGAAAGCAGTGTAGTTACAGGGACACTTGGTAGAAAACAAGATACCACCTCAAATACTCTGGAACTTGGTTTCTAAGAGGCTTATACCATTTTATACTCTCCACCCCTACCAAAAAAAACAGTATCTAAATTCTATATCTAGACAGTCATATTAATTAATTTAATTCATTTTTATTGTAGCTCATATTTTAACATTGTTTAATTTGTTATATAGCAAAATAGTATTTTCATATATACCACATGCTATATAATGTTATTCCATGAGAGAGTATGATCTGCTTTTCTGGTATGTAAAGTCAAGTAAATGCTTAGTGTGTCAGTCTTTTGCTTTACCATGACTTTCTTCTGGGATTCAAATGCTGTTGTTAAAAGCATGACTTTGAATACAAATGCGCATATAGTGAGCGTCTTTTCAAAATGAGTTCAAGTAGCATTTTTGGATCCGAAGACTTTATAATCTGACTTTAAGAAATAATTTCAGTAAAAATTATTAAGTTAATGTGGCTTAGACTGTTTCCTGATATTTATTTTTGCTTCACTTAATGTCTTTGTTCATGAGCACCAAAAAGATTCCTTTCTTGTACCAAAATTCTTATTAAATGTGAATGAGAATTCCAGATCATACATAGTAAGAGAATAATATAATATTTAGTCCTATTTTAAAATTTAAAATATAAATGAGCTTTTATTTGTGATCACTATATTAGATATTTTTTATTTAAAACTGGAAAATATCTGTATAGATCAGATTCTTAGGAGCAAATAGAAATCAATCCTGCTTAAGTAGAAATTTATTGGAAATTTAGTATCTCACATAACTGGCAGGAAGGCGGGAGATCAAAATGTAGAAAATGAGCAGAGGGCCCGCCCGGTGGCACAGCAGTTAAGTTCACACGTTCCGCTTCGGTGGGGTTCACTGGTTCAGATCCCAGGTGTGGACCTACACACCGCCTGTCAAGCCATGCTGTAGCAGGCGTCCCACATATAAAGTAGAGGAAGATGGGCACAGATGTTAGCTCAAGGCCAGTCTTCCTCAGCAAAAAGAGGAGGATTGGCAGCAGATGTCAGCTCAGGGCTAATCTTCCTCAAAAAAATAAAAATTTAAAAAATAAAAAAAAAGAAAGTGAGCAGAAAGCAAGAGAAACTAGAATAGAGAACACAGTCAAGGTCACACACACACAATTTAGTTTGGGTTCTTCTACATGTCACCAACACAGACTCTCAACTCCACAGCCATGAATAATTGCAAACTGTCCCTGGGGTTTGCATCACGAGCTGGAGTTTTGGAGCCCCTGGTGGGATTGATGAAGCCCAGGACGCTTGTCCTTGCCCTTGCTGCCAAGGGGAAGGGAAGGAGAACGTCTGGAGTTCCTTGTGTTTCCTAACAAGAAGCAGGGCCCTGCCTTTCAATGAAACAAAGGGGATTTCTCCCAAATAGGAGGAGTTTGGATGCTCGTCAGCCAAGAAAAGGGCACATGTCTATACAATGCACCCATTTGGCTTTGTAACATCCATATACACCTTTTTTCCCATACTTACTCTCACTTTTTTTGAAAAACATTCCAAAATAACATAATGCAACTATCCAGTTTACAATCAAAAATGTAACCAACCTCTTCCCCAAAGTGTGATGATCCTAAGTCTATTTAATTACCACATCTAGCTCCAGTTCAAAATAATGTGCACTAGTTATACCTGATTAGGATTATGCAACCTGTGGAGTCAGTTTCGTACTTAACCTGTATAAAATAAGAAAGAAGAAAGAGAGGAGAAGTTAATTAAAATATATAAATATATACGTGACATAGAAAGAAAGGAAATATGGGTAGACACTACAGTCCCTGTATTTTTGCAGCTGTCTCAAGCTCAGAACTGGCACTTAAGACTTTCCTGCTTCATATTCTCATTCCTTCAGGTAGTGCCACAAGTGTTCAAGGTCTTTTACTCTGTATTGTGATCCAAACATTCACCTTAAGGAATCAGAACTCACTATGATTCTGTCTGCATGGGATTGCGGTAGTCTTCTGTCAACTTTTGTTTATTTTGTTATGGAAAATTTCTAACATATACAAAAGTAGAGAGTAGTATAAGGAACTATATACCCACCACTCAGCTTCAACACCTATTAGTCATAACCAATCTTGTTTCATCTCTACCCCTACCCATGCACTCTGAGGATTATTTTGAAGCAAATCCCAAAAAATATCATTTCACTCATAATTGCTTGTTTGTATCTCTAAAGGATAAACTTTTTATAAGAGTAAACAGAGTACCATTGTCCCACATACACAGCAATTCCTGATATGAAATATCCAGTTGGTGTTCAAATTTCCCTCATTGTCTCATGACTGTTTCCTAACAGCCAGTTGGTTTGAATTAAGATTCAGTAAACTGACACACATACTGTGTTGATCACCAGTTCAGAGCATATGCTGCATCCTTCAGGATGGTACATCACTCTCACAAGGTGGTGTATTTTAGCTAATATTATTAGTGAGTCTTCAACAGATCATGCTTCTGCGGGTGATAGGTTACATAAGAGTGGTGAATCCCATGGGCATCTGCCAGTTGCATTCTTTTGTCATAGAGTAAGTTCCTTGATCAGAAGCAATCTTGTGTGGGAGATCATGGAAGAATGTGAGGCATTCAACAGTTCTCAGAATGGTAGTGCTGATAAAATGATATTTGGGAAAAGCAAATCCAAGACCAGAATAGGTATCTCTTCCAGTGAGGAAACATCACTGCTCCCTTCATGAAGAGGTCCAGTGTAGCTGGCTGATCCCCCCAGGCTATAGTAAAGAAATAAGAAGTCTCCCCATTCTATGAGCCTTAGTAGGAAGCAGGCCTCCACATCACATATGGAAACCTGAAACTAGAAGTGCCTGGACATTCTGCTTCCCTGGACAGCTAGGATGCAGGCATGTGATCTAGGTTTGGCCATTCATACCATCCTATCTGAGACTGCAGCTTGTTAATATACTATCAGGTTTGAAACTCCCAAAAGTCAGTTCTTTCTAAATTTTGATTGTTTTGTAGAAATCATCCCGATGTTCACAAATATAGTGTGGAGACCGTACAGTGGTATCCTCATGACACTGGCATGTTCACATCAAGCTCATTTGATAAAACTCTGAAAGTTTGGGACACAAATACATTACAAGTAAGTACAGTAAATCCTTTACAAATTGCTCTGTAGGGTAAAGGAGAATTTAATCAGTTTAGTGTGATTGTTTGCTAAGATGTCATGTATGTTAGATGTGAAAGCACTATAGTGGTGAAGGAGAGCTAGACTGCTTGAGTTCATATCTTGGCTCTGCTGCTGACTAGTTCTGTGACATTGGGCAAGTGTGTGAACCTCTCTGTGTTTCAGTTTCCTCGTCTGTAAATAGGGGCAATGATTGTACCTTATGGAATGGCTGTAGATAGGTCAATATATGTAAAATACCTAGAACAGTGCTTAGCCTATAGCAAGTGCTCAACAAAACATTAGCTATTATTATTATCTTTATTATTTGAAAACTACTATGGTCAAGTGGTCTAAGGAAGAAAATTGGATTTATCTCCTATTGACCTAAAAACATAAAGGAAAAGAAAGTTATTAATATTATACCTTAGTAAAGGTAGACAGAAGATGCTAGTTTTTATGAGATTTGGTCAAATTTATATTTCTAGTACTTATCTTTTCCCTGAGCTCTAATCTCATGTTTCTCTACCTGTCCACAGAACCTCTCTTACCTGAATGTAGTTTCATCTCCTGAAGTATAACATGTTCCAGACCAAACATGATCACTCCTCACATCCATTTAGTCCTCAAATCTTAGCAATTCTTCCTTCAAACTCTCTCATGTTTCTCTTTTCTATTTCCCTCACCATTGCTCTGCATCTAGACTACTACTAAAACTCCTGACTGCTTTCCCCCTATTACTTTCCTTTCCATATTTTCCATGGTAAGTTCTACCCTAGAATTAATCTTACTGTAAAGCAGCTTCATCATGTCTTTACCCAAACCCACTAGTGACTCCTGTTGTCCAAATTCAGCCTGGCATTCTAAGTTCTCCATGACCTCACGCTCTGCTCTCTCAACCTTAGCTCCTACCTCTTTTCAATATAAATGATCTGCTGCCAGTACATTGATCTCCTTTTGCGTTCTGATCATGTCTTGATTGTATTGTTTTCCCTGCCTCAAGTCCCTTTCCCTGTGCAACTTTTCCCTTCTCATTCGTCTTAGAACTGAAAGTTTGTACCCTTTGACCAACATCTCCCCATTTCCCCCATCCTCCAGTCTCTGGTAATAATCACTTTATTCTTTGTTTCTAAGAGTTCAACTTTTTAGAGGAAGATGGGCACGGATGTTAGCTCAGGGCCAGGCTTCCTCAGCAAAAAGAGGAGGACTGGCAGTAGTTAGCTCAGGGCTAATCTTCCTTAAAAAAAAAAAAAAAAAGAGAGTTTGACTTTTTTAGATTTCACATGTAAGAGATATTATACAGTACTTGTCTTTCGCTTGTCTGACTTACTTCACTTAGCATAATGCCCTCAAGGTCCATCCATTGTCACAAATGACAGGATTTCCTTCTTTCTGTGGCTGAATGATATTATATATGTATACCACATCTTCTTTATCTCTTCATTCATTCATGGATATTTAGGTTGTTTACATGACTTGGCACTTGTAAACGATGGTGCAATGAACATGAGGGTGCAGATAGCTCAAGATAGTGATTTTGTTTCTTTTGGAGATATACCCGGAAGTGGGGTTCCTGTATCATATGGTAGTTCTATTTTTAATTTTTTGAAGAACCTCCATACTGTTTTCCATAGTGGCTGTACCAATTTATGTTCCCACCAAACCATGCACAAGGGTTCCCTTTTCTCCACATCCTCACCAACACTTGTTATCTCTTGTCTTTTTGATGAGACCTATTTTAACAGATGGGAGGTGATAATATCTCATTGTGCTTTTGATTTTCATTTCCTTGATGAGTAGTGATGTTGAGCACCTTTTCACGTACCTGTGGCCATTTGTATGTCTTCTTTGGAAAAATGGCTATTCAGTTCCTCTGCCTGTTTTTAAATTGGATTGTTTGGGTTTTTTGCTATTAAGGTGTATGTGTTTTTATCGTTTTGGATATTAACCCCTTATCACATATATGATATGCAAATATTTTCTCCCATTCTGCAGGTTGCATTTTTATTTTTTGATGGCTTCCTTTGCTCTCCAGAAGCTTTTTAGGTTGATGTAGTCCTCCTTGTTCAGTTTTGCTTTTGATGTCAAATCCAAAAAATCATCTCCAAGACCGATGTCAAGGTGCTTACCACCTATGTTTTCTTGTAGGAGTTTTATAGTTTCAGGTCTTACATTCAAGTCTTTGATCCATTTTGAGTTGATTTTTGTGTATGGTGTAAGATAGTGGTCCAGTTTCATTCCTTTGCATGTGGCTGTCCGGTTTTCCCAATACCCTTTAAAGAAGAGACTCTCCTTTCCCCACTGTATATTCTTGGCTCCTTTGTTATAAATTAATTGACCATAGATGCCTGGATTTATTTCTGGGTTCTCTATCCTGTTCCGTTGATCTGTGTGTCTGTTTTTATGCCAACTCCAGACTGTTTTGATTACTATAGCTTTGTAAATAGAGTTTGAACTAAGAAAGTGTGATACCTCCAGCTTTTTTCTTCTTTCTCAAGATTGCTTTGGCTATTTGGGGTCTTTTCTGGTTTTATACAAATTTTAGGATTTTTTTTCTCTCTCTTTCTGTAAAAAATACCATTGGAATTTTGATAGAGATTTCGTTGAATCTGTAGATTGCTTTGGGTAGTATGGACATTTTTAACAATGTTAATTCATCCACTCCGTGAGCAGGGACTGTCTTTCCATTTCTTTATGTTTTCTTCAATTTCTTTTACCAATGTCTTATGGTTTTCAGTGTACAGATCTTTCACCTCCTTGGTTAAATTTATTCCTAGGTATTTTATTCTTTTTGATGCAATTTTGAATTGGATTGTTTTCTTAATTTCTGTTTCTGATAGTTTGTTATTAGTGTATATTGTATATTGGTATTGTGTCCTACAACTTTACTGAATTCATTTATTAGTTCTAACAGTTTTTTGGTGGAGTCTTTAGGGCTTTCTATATATAATATCATATCATCTGCATATAGAGGCAATTATAATTCTTCCCTTTCCAATGCCTGTGCCTTTTGTTTCTTTTTTTTGCCTCTGGCTAGGGCTTCCAGTACTTTGTTAAATAAAGTGGTGAGAATGGGCAGCTTTGTCTTATTCCTGGTCTTAAAGGAAAATCTTCAGCTTTTCATTGTTGAGTATGATGTTAGCTGTGGGGCTTATCATATGTATAAATGGCCTTTATTATGTTGAGGTAGATTCCCTCTATACCCAGTTTGTTGGAAAAAAATCACACTTTTTAATAAACGTTAATACCCATTCATGATTTTTAAAAAATTCTTAGCATATTAGGAATAGAAGGGAAATTCCTTAATTTGGTAAAGAGTTTCTGTTAAAAAAACACACTTAAAAACAAATATATTTGGTGGTAAAATATTGAAAGCTTTCCCTTTGAGTTATCTCTATTATTCCCACTGTTCAACATTAAACTGGAAGTCCTAGCCAGTGCATAATGCAAACAAAAGAAATAAAAGGGATTCAAACTGTCATCACAGATGACATGATTGTGAACATAGAAGATCCAAAAGAATCTATAGCCAAGCTGTTAGAATTAATATAAGTAAATTTAGCAAAGTTGCTGGATACAAGGTCAGTTGTGTTTCTGAATTCCAGGCACAAAGAGTTATGGAATTTCAAAAGTAATATCGTTTGCAGTTGCATCAAAAATTATTATGTACCCAATAATAAATTGAAAAGTGTACAAGACCACTCGACACTGTACAGAAAACTATAGAATATTATTGAGAGAAATTAAGACCTAAATAAATGGTAGAATATACCATGTTCAAGAATTAGAAGGCTCAGTACTATAAAGATACCAGTTTTACCCAAAATGATCTACAGAGTCAATGCATTTCTAATCAGAATCTTTGCAGGATTCTTTTATGGAAATTGACTAGCTAATTCTAACGTGTATACGGAAACACAGACGGATACAGCACTCTTGAAGAAGAATGAAATTTGAGTACTTTATTACCTGATATCAAGACTTAAAATAAATTAATTACACTAATTAAGGCAATGTGATATTAGTACAAGTATTGAAAAAACAGTGGAAGAAGATAGAGAATCAACACACACCCATGCATGTACAATCATTTGATTTGTGACAAACAACACGCAGTGCATTGTGGAAAGGATGGCTTTTTCCATGAATGATGTTGGATTAACTAGGTATCCATATAAAAAAAACTAATCTTGACCCTTACCTCACCTCAGACACAAAAGTCAATTTCAGGTGGATTACAGTTGTAAATGTGAAAGAAAATAATCGCAGTTATAGAAGAAAACAGGAAGATGTTTTCATGGCTCAAGATAGGTAAATACACAAAAAAATACAAACCACAAAGAGAAAGATTGATAAATTGAATTACATTAAAATTAGGAACCTCTATTCATCAAATAACACCATTAAAAGAGTGAAAAGGTAAGCCATGGAGTAGGAGGTGATGTATCTGACATATGCATATACCTGGAAAAGGATTTATATCCAGATTATATAAATAGTCAACAAAAATTTAGAAGACTGAAAGCCCCACGGAAAAATAGGCAAAACACTTGAATAGGCACTTCAAAAAAGAGGATATCCAAATAGCCAATAAATAAAAGTGTTCAGCTTTATTAATTGAGCACCTGGATATGTTAATTAAATTCACAATGAAATATTTCTCTATACCCTCCAGAATGACTAAAATTGAAGAGGCTGATGCTACCAGTAACAAGTACATATATTGCTATGAGATTACAAATTGGTACAGATATTTGGTTTCAACTGAAGCCAAATATGTCCTTACCCTGTGATCCAGCAGATGCACTTTTGAGAATATAAATGCATACATATGTGCACCAAAGGACATTTGTAAGAATGTTCATAGCAGCACTGTTAACCAAAAACTACAACCCAAATGTCCATTAACAGTCATGTGGAATTTGGCAAATTAGACATTGGAATACTATCCAGCAGTGACAAGGGAACACTTCTATATCAACAAAATGGATGAATGTTACATAATATTAGACAAAATAACCAGATAGAGAAGAATGCCTAATATATAATTCCCTTTATAAGAGCTTCAAAAATAGACAAAACTAACCTATGGTGATAGAGGTCTGTATGGTGGTTATCTTTCTTGGTGAAGGTTGAAAGGGGGTTCTAGGGGGCCTTCTGGGGTGTTTGTAATGTAATGTTTGTAATGTTCTACTTTATAATACAGGTAGTGGTTACTTTGTGAAAATTCACTTTGTGAAAATTCATTGAACTGTATACTTGTGTATGTTTTTCTGTATGTTTGTTACACTTCAGTTGAAAGTGTGGTTTAAAAATTAATAAGCCATACATTTGTATTTTCTTTCCTTAACATTGACCTCTTTTAAAACTCTAAGACATCTTGAATTAAAATTTTTTTAGAACATAAATATTTTGCTAACTCAAAACAGTATTCCATGAGTTCACAATTCTGTCTGAAATAGACAAAGAATTTTATTGATAAGAACTTAAAAAGTATTCCATAAGAAATAATTTATTGTGCATCTCCTAGGTTCACAGGAAAGTAAGAACGGGATCATATTGTCCCGCTGCCCATCCTCTACCCTCATCACTAATTTTCCTATCAATGTGCATATTATATACCTGTCATACCTTTTCTTCATCTAAGTTTTCCATAAGCATGTTTTTATAGTATATGATATGGCTTAGAGGACTGTCTTCTCTAGAGTCTTCTCTATTAAACTTTAAGGTAAAGTGCAACTTCTTTCTCATTTTGAGTTTTCTTAAAATTTTGCATAATGAAACATAATTGAGAAAATGCTGATGTCAGTATCCAGGCCATGTTCTTTAGAAATGAATAAGACTCTTGAATATATTCAACAGGTATTTATTAAATGTCTGTTACTGTTGGAACTGGCGATTCAATGGTGAGCAAAATAGACATTGCTCTTTTGCAAGGAGCCCTATGGCAAGGAGCTTCAAGTTTAGCAAGGAAAACAAATGATTAGACAAGAAATAACAGTAAATTTCTGAAAGGGACTGTAACCATGAAAGTGTACAGTAGTTTAGCAGGGGCGCCTAACCTATGGGGGAATTCAGGGAAGGCTTTCCGGAGCAGGTCCTCTTGGCTGAGATGAAGGATGTTGAGTAGAAGTTGGCCAAGTCCAGAGAAGGAGGAAGACAGTTCTAGTCAGAGGGAACAGCATTTGAAAACTCTTGGGGTACCAGTGAACATGGCATTTTAAAAACTGAAAGATGCTCGGTATGGCTAGAGTACTAAAGGACCGTGGCGAGAGATAAAGTCAGAAAGGTAAGCAGAGTCTCCATCATGAGGGGCCTTGTAAATTTTGTTAAGTAGGTTGAATTTTTTCCTAGGAGGAAAAGCTATTGAAGAGTCCAAGCAATGGCAAAAAATGAAAACATGAAATTGGCATTTTAGAGGAAAGAGTCTGGCTATGTTACACATAGGTTAGAAGGTGGCAAGAGGAAAGTCAAACAGACCAGATAGGAGATTGCAGTAATCCAGGCAAGAGTAGTGAGTGGCCTGACGACAGTAATGACAATGGGATAAACAGATATGAGAGGTTACCTATGAGAGAGAATTGACAGGAGTTGCAAGTTGATTAGCTGTCAGGAAGAGTGAAAACAAGAATGGCCATCAGGGAAATACAAATCAAAACGGCAGTGAGATACCACTTCATGCTTTAGGTATGAAGGATGGCTGTAATCATGAAGACAAACAATAACAAGTATCGAGTAGGATGTGGATAAATTGGAACCCTCATACTTTGTTGGTGGGAATGTAAAGTGGTGCAGCTGCTTTGGAAAACAGTTTCTCAAAAGGTTGAACATGGAGTTACTATATGACCCAGCAATTCCACTCCTGCATATATACCCAAAGAGAGGTGAAAACATAAGTCCACACAAAACTTGCACACAAATGTTCATAGTGGCGTTATTCATAATAGCCAAAAAGTGAATGAAATATCCATCAACAGATGAATGGATAAATGAAATGTGGTAGAACCATAAAATGGAAGATTATTCAGTAATAAAAAGAAATATATTACTGATACATGCTGCAACATGGATGAACTTTGAAAACATTATGCTAAATGAAATGAAAAAAAAGAAAAAATTTTGCTAAGTGAAAGACTACAAAAGACCACATGTTGTGTAATTCTATCTAAGTGAAATGTCAAAAATAGGCAAATCTATAGAGACAGAAGTTAGATAAGTTAGATTAGTGGCTTCCTAGGGTGGAGGGTAGGGAGAAATGGGAAGTGACTGCTAATGGGTATGGGGTTTCTTTTTGGGGTGAGGAAAATGTTCTAAAACTGATTTTGGTGATGATTGTATAACTCTGAATATACTAAAAATCATTGAAGTGCACACTTTAAATGGGTGAATTGTATGGTAAGTCACTTACAGCTCAATAAAGCAATTATTTAAAAAAAAATCAAGAATGACTCCCAGGTTCTCTAGCCTGGACAAATTATATTGTTAATTACTAAGAAAGGGAAAGGATAAGAGGGTGTTGAGTTCAATTTTAGATTTGTTAAGTTTGAAGGATTTGCAAGAAATCCAAATAGAAATAATCCAGGAATTGAGCTGTACGTATCTGAAATTCAGGAGTGTGGTCTACACTGAAAATACAGATTTGTGAGTCACTTGAATATAGGTGGCAGTTGAAGAGAAGAGTACAAAGAACAAAACCCTGAGGAAGACCAAGATTGATAGGACAGAAAAAGGAAAATAAAGCCTACAAAAGACAACGAAGAGGAGTAGCTATAGAGAATAAGAAGAAAATCAGGAGTATGTGATATAATGGAAGCCAGTGGAAGAGATTGTTTTAAGCAAGTTGGAGGAGTCAGCTATGTTGAATGTTACTGACAGGTTAGGTAAGATAATGACTGCTTTTGGTGACAGGAAGTTATCAGTGATAGAGTGTGAATGGCAGTAGTGGAGATAAAAAGAAGATTGCAGTAAGTTGAAAAACATGGGAGATAAGAAATTAGAGACGGCCAAAATTTGGATTTAAAGAGGAAGAAAGAAGATTAATTAGGAGGAATATAGGATGAAAAGGTTTTTGTTTCTTTGTCTTGGGGAGGGGGTTGCTGTGAAGATGAAAGAGACTTGAACATTTTTTAGTGCTGATGGGAATGAGTCAGTAGGGAGGGAGAGGTTATACATGCCCTGGAGAGAGGTGTGAATGTATAGGATGAGGTTTCTCACAGTGCTGAAGAAGATCTGAACACAGCGAGAGGGATTAACTTTACGTATGAGGAAGGATCATTTTTCCACGATAACAGGAGTGAAGAAGGAAAAAGGATAAATGGAAGCAAATGTGTTTGCAGGTCTGTTGATCAGGCATTGAGAGAATTCTCATCGAATGCCTCCCATTTTCTCTTTGAATAAAAGATAAGATCGCCTGTTGTGACCGAGTGGCATTATTTGTGGAGAGTGGAGAAGGTATGAAATAGCTTCGAATACCGCAGAGAGTACTAGTGAAATTTAATAGGACTGGCAGCCAATACCGAAAGCCCAGCAGAGGTGAATGATCTTTTATAGTGATATCAATTTGCCTTATTATAAGATTTTCTTCACCTGGGTGGAGTAGCAGTCAGCTTACTGCCGCCCATAGGCCAAGCCTGGGCTCATGACGTCTTTTTGTAAATAAAGTGTTACTGGAACACAGACAGGCTCATTTGTTGTCTATGGCTGCTTTGATGCTACAGTGGCAGAAATTAGTAGTTGGTTCTCAAAGCCTAAAATATTTACAATCTGACCCTTTACAGAAAAAGTCTGCTGACTTCTGGTGTTGATCAACCTGGATATAGGTGAAGAGAAAGCAGACATTTGGGGACATCTGGGGTTGAGGTCTTGACAAAAGTGCAAGGATTAACAACAAAGGAGTTGAAGATACTGGCAGTTGAAGTATTGGACCTTGGAATCCAAACTGAAGAAGGAAAAGAAGTGAAGACTGGAGGAACTGATAGGAGTTCTGGGCTTTATTTGGATGTCTTGCAAGTAGTTGGGAAAAAAAGAGCTGAAAATGATAGAAGATTGTGGTCATATATAACTGAAATGTATGATCTCAAAGAGGGAGCAATTCTAGGTGATGAGAGTGTCCTGGGTATGGGTGCTGGGGCTGTATGGAAGCGAGAGGCAGAAGACTGGCTAGATCATCTGTGTAGATGCTGAAGTCCCCCAGAATGGAGTGGAGAGGAAGATGGTGAGCCAGGTGGTTGTCTTGTCTTAGTCTCTAGGATTTACTAGAGATTTTCTCTAGTGTTTTTCTCACAAAAGGGAGAAGAGTATTGTAAATAACATAAGATTTAAAATTATCAGGTTTTTGAGAGCATTACATTCCAGTTTAAGTCAAATAAATTGCCAGCAGTCTATTTAAAAATTGCAATGTGAAAATAAGTAAATAGAAAGTTTGTGGCTTTTGTGATTGTAATTAGAACTTACACTTTTAAAATGTCTTAATTATCAGACTGCAGACGTATTTAATTTTGAAGAAACAGTTTATAGTCATCATATGTCTCCAGTCGCCACCAAGCACTGTTTGGTAGCAGGTTTGTACATGTATTCTTTTGTTTTTTAACATATTGAAAACTTTCTCCCTTTTAATATCTAGTTAGTTTTCATATAAACAGTTTAACCGAGATGAAGATCACAATTCTTTAAAAAAAAAAAACACAAAAATTAAGTGTATGCTGCTATTTATATTTAATTTAACAGATATTGTGCAAGTCAGGTACTGTGCTAGTGGCCAGGATTCAAAGATGAAGAAAGCACATTGCTGTTCCCTAAAGAGTTACTTTTATTTATTTATTTATTTGGTGAGGAAGGTTCGCCCTGAACTAACATCTGTTGCCAGTCTTCCTCTTTTTTTTACCTTGAGGAAGATTGTTCCTGAGCTAACACCTCTGCCACTCATCCTCTGTTTTATATGGGATGCTGCCACAGCATGGCTTGACGAGCAGTGCTTGGTCCACACCTGGGATCTGAACCTGCAAACCCCAGGCCACCAAAATGGAGCAAGCGAACTTAACCACTATGCCATTGGGCCAGCCCCTCCCTAAAGAGTTACTTTTAAACCACCAAAGTTTCAAACCTTTTACAAAAAAAAATTTTGGCAACTTTTTCAACTGGTCATAATAAAACAAGGAAATGATTTCCTTTTCTCTACGATTGTGTGATTCAAATTAAACATCCATTTTTGTGAAAGTACCTGCAACAACAATTTTCATGTGTAAAGAAGAAAAAATGTTTTTCTGGTATAAGGGATCAGGTTGCTGTGATTCTGTTATTTCTGTGGCACTGCATGAATCTCTTCACCTCCAGATATCTGTCAACTACTCCATCTGTAAAGAAGAGTGGGGCACTAACTTGTCTTTGAAGTCCACTCAGTCTGTGTCCAGAGTTCTGTGGATATATTACTAGTGATTTGAAGTATATCATTAAGATGGAAGAACTAAGCTATTAAATAAAATGATTTGATGTGATAAAATATAGAATTTTACACACACATGTACCAATACAAATTTCCTGGTTTTGATATTGTACTGTAGTTACTTAACATATAACCATTGGGACAACCTGGGTGAAGGGTACACAGGGCCTCTCTCTCCTATCTGCATCTTCCTGTGAATCTGTAATTATTTCAAAATTAAAGGTTAAAAAATAATGGAATAATAGAGTTCTCTTAGTACTAAAGTGTAACTACAATTAAAGTAATTTTTTTAATTATAAACAATAAAAATGAAGTGTATTTTTAGCATACTTTTTTATATTTCTTCATGGATACAGTGGGAAAATGTCATGATTCATGATGATAGTTTCTTGTTTCCTTTTGATGATGATTTATAATAAAATTATCTCAAACAATTTTTGTTTTTGTTTTTACAGTTGGTACTAGAGGGCCCAAAGTACAACTTTGTGACTTAAAGTCTGGATCCTGTTCTCACATTCTACAGGGTATTTTTTTTATTTGAAACAACAACTACTTTGAGTAAACCATTCAATAAAAAGAAACATTGCTAACAATGTATTCTTTGTAAGTGACATGACCAATGTATTTTGTGCTAGTTGTTAAAAGTCAACAGGGAAATAAAGATCCTTCTGTGCATTATTCTTATAAAACTGAACTATTGAGGAGACATTTATATGAACAATGGCCATGGGAGAAGCTCAAAGGATATGGAAGCTCTAACTCCAAGCCTTGTGTTATTTCTCCATTTTAAAAAAATAAACTACTTACAAAGCTTAGATCAGTACATTTAGTTCATGAGCATTGTTTAATATTGTTCTGGCTGAGTAAACATTCTTAATATTTAGGTGCTTTTTCTCTCAGTAAAAACATTTTAGAAAAAAGATATTGAAGGTATATTGTTTGGTAAAGGTATATTATTTTTGCTACTTTTTTATCAGTATTAGATCATTAATTCTAAACAATGGAAAGATGAGATGTCATTGAGAAATATACATTTTTAATCATCTCTGAGAAACACGTAATATATCAAGAAAACTTGGTGAGATGCATAGTGTTTGTTTTACATTATCATGAGTTTCTGTTAATGTAAGCTAGGTAGATGAAAATATGATTTGAATAATTCAGTTAGGTAGAAGTGAATTAAAATGCTAAGATCACATCCTATAAGCTTATCATCTGTCCTTTATAGAAAAAAACAATTGTACAAATTCTTTTTTACAATCATGAATTAAAATATTTTTTTCTTTATAACCTTCTGAAAAGGTAGAAAACTTTTATTCTTCAGAATGTTTATCTTATATGGTTTGTTGCAGTGGCTTTTTGTCGTAGAGAGAAGTGAGCTTGAGCTATATCACTTGATGGATTGACCCACTAGGCTAACAGCTGTATTTAAAAAGAAAGACTCTCTTGCCTTGACTGTTCTTTCCAAAGCAAAACCAGGCCTTTTATAATAAAATATCATGTGTGAGAAATGCTCCATAGACTTCACATTAATATTTAAACACAGATTATTATAAATGTGAAAAAATGATCATATCAATTTATTTTTAATATTTAGTCTTCACTTTCTTCAGAGTCAGACAAAATTAATTGCACTGTATCTCGTGATTTTTCAAATATTTTGTAAGACTTTTCGTATTTGCAGGTCACAGACAAGAAATATTGGCAGTTTCCTGGTCACCACGTTATGAATATATCTTGGCAACTGCAAGGTAAAATGCAAATTATTTGATTCTGAAGTTAATAATTAATGATCAGCATTTTGAAAAGACTACATTTGTGAAAGATGCATATTTAGTTATTAATTAGGCCCTTAAAAATAAAATAGTTGTTACAGATTTTAATTCATATCACCAAAAGAAATCTTCCTTTATATCATAATCTTAATCCTGACTATCCATCTTGAAGGTGCTCACCTTAGAGAAAACAGGAGAATCTATGTAGCAATGTAAATCTAGTATGTACTACAGTAAAACAACGATGTTTTATCAATTTTTCATACAAAAGTATAGCACTCTGTTAATTTAAAAATAGTAGCATTTTTATTCCTTTTCTTTAATCCGGAATTATTTTGAATCTGATTCAACACATCTATCCATCCATTTATTGATTCGATTTACTAATGTTTAATAACTGCCTACTGTGTGCCAAGCATTGTGCCAGGGACACAGAGGTAACGAAGGCATAGTTCCTTCAAGAAGCTAACAGTCTAATGAGGGATATAGTCAGAAAAATCAGCGATTACAGGACATCCTGAAAAATGTTATAATAGATGTACATCTCTAGTAGGTATAATATGGGAAAAGAGCAAGAGCACTTAACTCTGGGGGCATCAAGGGATTTGGGGAGTTTTGTTGGCTGAAGGGAAGAGACTTGCATATTTAAATGCTGAGGAGGAAGTACCAGTAGGGAGAAATTAGTGAAGATGAGAAATGGAGGGAATAATTGGTGCATCAGGACCTTGAATAAACAGGAAATGGTAGTATCAAGGCTCCAGATAGAAGGGGGACGATTGATTTGACACGTGAAGGGCATCATGAGACTAAATGGAAGGAGGAAAAGGTAGATGTGAATACAATTAAATTTGTGGCATGTCAAGTATAACTTGATGTCATTTATTGAAAATACTGGAATGGGGATGCAATTTTTCTTTGTTTATTTAAAGATTGGCACCTGAGCTAACAACTGTTGCCAGTCTTCTTTTTTTTTTTTTCCTGCTTTTTCTCCCCAAATCCCCCCAGCACATAGTTGTATATTTTAGTTGTGGGTCCTTCTTGTCATGGCATGTGGGATGCTGCCTCAGCATGGCCTGATGAGCAGTGCCATATCCACGCCCAGGATCCCAACTGGTAAAACCTCGGGCCGACAAAGCGGAGCGCAAGAACTGAACCACTTGGCCTTGGGGCCGGCCCCAGGGGATGGAATTTTGAGGGAAGGTAGTAAAGATTTGGAGTAACAGTTTTAATGAATGGGGATGGGAGCTGATTAGAGGCACATAGGACTGCTGGTCAGTGTTGTGTGTTCAGCTGACGATGTAGACCACAGCTGTACTAAGCCACAGAAATCAAAACATTAAATGACACAGACTTAACAGTTGTCTGAAAATTGTTGAAGTCGTGGGTATAAGGTGGAAATAAAATCACAAAAAGCTTGGAGAGATCAAGAACGCAATAAGGTAGTAGTGTCAGAGTAAGAAAATTTAAAAACTGAAGGGATAAGAAGCAGTAGTCAAAGATTTTGATATAGACATTTTAGTAAAACTTTTGGTGGAAGAATTATTAAAACAAAAGCTATTCATATTGGCTTTGTAAAGATAGGTGTCTGGGCTTTTGTAAAGCTGCCATCCCTCCCTTTCTCACTGTTTAGTCCCAAAAGAAGCTTCTGTTAATTGTTTGCAGAATGTGACATTGAAATTTATGGTTTCTGAATAAAACAAGGTCTGGAATGTAGCCGGAAGAAAACTGGCTAAAGAGGTGTGAAGCTGAAGTGTTAGATGCTGGTTGTGGGTCCATGCTAGAGTGGATTTACATTGTTCATGCCTAACTTGGTTTTTCCTCAAATCAGAAGGAAGCTAAGAGGCTTTTAATTCTCAGAGTATCCCAGGAATTAGAATCAGTACCAGAATGGACCTAGTAATTAATCTTAGGAATCAGATATGTCTGAATCTAATCTGTTTCAGAAGAGACTTAAGTCCTCAGACTTATCCCTTTGCAGACGTTTTCCCCAGCTGGAAAGAAAGAAAACCAACCTGAGAATGGGAAATGCTAGCTCTTTGCTGACTATTCTGTAAGTTGGCTAGGTTTGATGGTAATCTGTGAAAAGACTCAAGGTTATAGGAAGAGATAAACCCCCTAGGTAGGTAGGTAGGTAGGTTATAGGAAGGGAGAAACTCTATAGGTAGGTAGGTTATAGGAAGAGATAAACCCTATAGGTCGGTCGGTCGGTAGGTAGGTAGGTAGATGACAAATAGGCTTATAAAATGCAAAGTAATGCTCTTTCTAATTAAAATGGGCTGGATACACCCAGTGGGCTACACTGTTGCTGGGGTCTTTGTGAGGATGTGATAGCCTCAGTTGAACTGATTTCTGTTTTCTTTAGGAATAGTTTAGAAACTGAAATTGATATATGATCATGATTTTCCTGTCTTGTTTTCACTTACTTGAAATAAAATGAAAGTGAGTATCTAATTTCTAGGAGACATTAAATTTAGTTCTCATGTATTTGGCAAAGATTGATTCGATGGGGCCGGTCCCGTGCCGAGTGGTTAAGTTCTTGCGCTCTGCTTCTTTGCAGCCCAGGGTTTCACTGGTTCGGATCCTGGGTGCGGACATGGCACTGCTCATGAGGCCATGCTGAGGCAGCATCCCACATGCCACAACTAGAAGGACCCACAACTAAAAATACACAACTATGTACCGGGGGACTTTGGGGAGAAAAAGGAAAAAAAAAAATCTTAAAAAAAAAAAAAGATTGATTTGAGTACAAGAAACCGAATAAAATATATTGTCCTTATTATTCACCCTGTTCTCAATTTTTGTCATATAAAAAGAAAAAAAACACCAGATTCTTGCCAACTGGATTATTAAACAAAATGAAATTAATTAACTGCTTGATTGTCTAGACAATAGTTGAATAATAAACAAGAGAAAGGATGGAGTAACAAACTTGCTAAGGAACAAGCTCCAAGCCTCTCTAATCCTTGGGGAGAAAGATGCTCATGGCATTAAAAACAACATAAAAAGCAGAATTCTGCCCTTGTAATCTAAAAAAGCTTACTTTTTTTTTTTTTTTTTTGCTATTTTTTCACTTTTTTGTGCTACTATTGAATATTTGCTGAAAAGACCAAAGTGCAACTCAAATATACAAATACATTTGTGCAAATATACTAGGATCTCCGTGTGCCATACTACTGGAAAGGTGGGTGAAGAGTACAGTCATTGTTCAGCTATATATGTCAATGTAACATTTATTTCTTCTTAGTGCTGACAGTAGAGTAAAATTATGGGATGTGAGGAGAGCATCAGGATGTTTGATTACTCTTGATCAGCATAACGGGAAAAAGTCACAAGCTGTTGAATCAGGTAATGAAATATGACAATGATAGTACTTTTATATTGAAAATTTTGAATTGAAAGCAAATAAATGTATATTAAGTTGCAATTTTTATGATTAAAAAAAGCATTTGCAGTAAGTTTCTAAATTTATGTAAACTATAGGCATCTTTCTTCAAGATACAGATTAGTGTGGCATTTCACTCTGCCCCTGGATTTTCAAATGTAGAAACTTTTCTGGATTAACCTACCTCTTTTTTCCCTCCAATGACGCCAACTAATAGAAATTCAGTGCCACGTAGGAGGTTACAGTACATTAAAGGAATAGTAGCATTTTGTGGCTATTGTGACAGAATAAAACTTTCAAGTTGCGTTAAATGTGAGTCAGCTGCAATCCAGGTGACAAAAGTATTCAGTTGCATTTTTACAATAGAATTTAATTTCTGTGTAGGTTAAATTCTGATTCAGAATTAATTCTGGACTAGAAATATATTAGGATGAACTATATGAAACCTATTATTGTTTTAATCTTTTAGATTAAATTAATCTGGCTATTAAGAATTATGCTTTCTCAAACTTGTTCATTTTGAAAGTAATATAAATTTTGATTGAGACTGGAACAGTTATTCTCCCCCTGTCAAAGTGTTTTAAGCAGGAAGTACTAGTATTATTGATTTTTAATAGTCTATGGAATGCTTTTTAGATTAAAAATGGAAAGAGTATATAAGAAGTTTGAGAAGTCTTTAAAATTTTACTGTTAGGCTATGCATTTAATTGAGTTTGATAGCACAGCTTACTCTCTGAGGAAAAATTATATTTGGCAGGATTTTTTTCCTTTGGTTTTCCTTTATTTTTATGGTTCTAATTTATACAGCTTATATTCAAATAATTCAAAGACATGATTAATTTTTAATATAATCATTGTATATATTTTAGGTAATTCAGATAGTTGTCCGTTAATATGTTTAAATAACTATATCATCAAGCATTAAGTGTGTGCTGAATACAAGAAGAGATAAACTGAATTGTATTTTTCATTGCAGCAAACACCGCTCATAATGGGAAAGTTAATGGCTTATGTTTTACGAGTGATGGGCTTCACCTGCTCACTGTTGGTACGGATGATCGAATGAGGCTCTGGAATAGTTCCAATGGAGAAAACACACTAGTAAGAGATTTTAAGTACCTCCAACCTTTTGGATATAAATTAAAGAAATAGATCTGGCTGTTTATGAAGAAATACTTTGAGAAAAACACTTGATGTTCTTTCTGTAGATTTAACTCTGTTTCTTGCCTCTAAATCATGCTGTCTTTTTATAATATTTTTCCATTATGTGAACTAGTAATTCTCAACTGAGGACAACCCACCCCCCACTCCCCCACCACATTCCCTCTACTTAGTGGAGAATCACTACTCTACTGAGCCACTGTGCAAAACGACTGTGTACCATCTCTCTCAGATATATATTGGAAAAGAATAAAAGATTGAGAACAACTGATATAAATTAAAGTTATAAAGTTAAATAGTCAAATTTTATACTATATATGACTTGTAAACAAAATCCAACATGAATGTTATAGTACTAGAACATAATAGTACTTTAATACTGGAATAAATCTGTTTTAAAGGTGCTAGATTCTTGGTGGTAATTAATTTCTAGTACTTTTAAAAAATTTATGTTATGGTCCTTTCCAGGTATACCCATGGTTTAATAACTTTCAGAATAAGCAACCAAAAGTTTATAATTTGGTGATGATAATAATAACTAATATTTTTGAGAGCTTATGTGCCAGATGCTATGCTAATAAAAATTAACATTTAATATATGTGCTGGAGCATATATGGCCTTCTTTAATCATCACATCAACACTATGAAGGTAGTTACTGTTACAATACGCATTTTACACATGAGGAAAATGAGACAAAGTGGTTAGGTAACTTGCCTGAGTGTACAGAGCTAGAAAGCGACAGAGTTTGACTCTAGATTCCACTCTTACCATAATGCTGATTATACCCAGACCCCTTAAAGCATTTATTTAACACCTTAAGGTAGGTATTAATATTAATCATATTCCTTTCTTTAATCATCCTTTCTTTTTTTTTTTTTTTAAAGATTTTATTTTTTTCCTTTTTTCTCCCCAAAGCCCCCCGGTACACAGTTGTATATTCTTTGTTGTGGGTCCTTCTAGTTGTGGCATGTGGGACTCTGCCTCAACGTGGTTTGATGAGCAGTGCCATGTCCGCGCCCAGCATTCGAACCAACGAAACACTGGGCCGCCTGCAGTGGAGTGCGAGAACTTAACCACTCGGCCACGGGGCCAGCCCCTTTAATCATCCTTTCTAGCTGATTCTCTTTTGGATACTCTAGGTATCACTTTCACTATTAAATACTAATTTTGCTATGAGGTCAAAACTGTTTATACTAGATTACTTTAGAGTTTGCTAATCCCTCATATACTTTTTGAAATGCTTCTCCATCATGTCTGAAACTAGAAACTCGGGCATTGCAAATTTTAATTTAGAATCTTCCATTCATCATATTGTACCATGTCCCTTATCAGGTCACACCTTCCTTTTCTCGTTTTATTCATTTGTTTAATAAGAATTTATTAATTTATTTGCCAGGCAGTATTATACAGCAGTAGACAAAACATAGAAAAGTCCTATCCTCATGGAGCTTACATTCTAGGGAGAGGAAGAAAGACAACCATCAATCAAGAGATGGATGGATGGATGAACAGATGGGTGGATAAAATATATGTTGGATGCAGTAAGTGCTATGAAGAAAATCAAAGCAAGGAAAGGAGCATAGAAAATACTGGGAAGTTGGAGTTGCTGTTTTACATAGGGCAGTCAGGGTAGGTCTCACTCAGAAGATGACATTGGGCCTGAAGGAAGTGAAGGAGTGAGCCATCAGATTTTTGGGAGGGAGAGCATTCCAGGCAGAGGAAGGAAGAAAGTACAAAGACCCTGAGGGAGGAGCATGCTTGGGATATCCAGGGACCCTCTAAGAGGCTCTTGTGTTGGAACAGAGTAAGCCAGAGGGAGAGTAATAGGATAAGGAACAGGTGTTGCCTTCTTAGTATTACCCTTATTAGTTTTAAAAAGATGTATAAGTACACACTTGCAGTATATGTATAATTATTTATAATCTATATATTTTAGTAAAGATTAATTTCTTTTTTTAGATAAAAATGAAATAGAAATTCTCATGTTTTTTTGGTACACCTTTTAATGGATCATCTTGCAGACTCCTTGAGGTGTGTGACCTGCACTCTGGAGACCATTGCCTTAGAGTACAGAACAAATAGCCGCAGGAAAAATTCACACAGAGGCAGCTTTTGGTACAAGATAAGAAAAGAAAGATTTCAAAGTAGCTGTTCTGGTGTTAACTGTTTTAGTTACTGGTATTATCATTCACTCAGTCATCAATGTCCAGAAACTGGGAGTCTATTCTGTATTCTTCCCTGTCCCTTATCCCTGCTATTAACTCAATTACATCCTGTTAATTCTTCCTTCTTAATTTTTTTCATATTTGTCTTCCCTTCCTGCCTCACTCTGGGCCCTCATGATCTCTCTATTTAATTTCTCTAACATCCTTCTAACTTTTTCCAAACTCATCTCCCAGTGAAAGTCTTTTAGTGTTTCCTCAATACTTGCAGGTTATTAAAACTGAATGCCCTTTCCTTTTGTGCCCAAGGCCTTCATAAGCTGTACCTTCTAACTCACCAGCTTTATGTCTTGCTCCCTTCGCATTTTTCCCTGTCCTTAGCCATACTGAACTACTTAAAGGTCTTTAAATAGACCATCCCCTCTTGCCCTTCCATTCTGCTGCATGGACTGCTGCCTTTGCTTTAGAATACCCTTCTTCTGCTTCCTATCCTAGCTCTTTTTAACTCTTCTAGTCCAGCTTAGATGCTTCCAGAGTACCCACTGCTCACTTGTATTACTGTGTACTGTGATCGTCACTTCACTTCATGGAATGAAAGAAAAATAATTTTACAACAACTTGGTACAGTGCTTTTTGATTAGCATAGTCCAGATTCAGTTTCTGTTTCTGTCACTTATTAGCCAAGAGACCTTGATCGAAATACTTAACTTTTTTAAGTGTTTTCTTTTTGTATAATAATGTTGCCTATCTCATAGTATTGTTTTGAGCATTACATGAGATAATGCTTGTAAAACATTTAGCACATCATCTGATACTTACAAGAAATGTTGACAGTCAGTAAATATTATCCATCATTATTGTTATTATGCTGATAGTTGTTTGACAGTAAAATGAGCTGCCTTGTGATGGAATCTCTGCATCACTGTAGGTATTCACTTAGTGACTAGGTGTGTATATTTCCTGGGACATTACAAAGGATTCATAAGATAGAGAATTGGATTTGCCATCATTCTATCCCAAGTCTATGAAATCTTCCTCCTCTAGCAAAATCTTTTCAAATCCTTTAAGACATTATAGCCAAAAGTAGCCTGTTCCTCTACAGTACTTTCATAATGATATATATCACACTATTTACCACACATTGCCTTTTATGGTAAGCATTTATAGTCATAAAACAGGGGCCTGAATCACCCTGCACAGTGTGTGACACATAGTAAGCACTTAGTAAATGGTAGATCCCTCCTTTCCTTAATCTGTTATTAGACCTTCATTCCATAGGCATTGAAAAGATGTTGATAGTTTTGATCCCGCAGGTGATTTGATCACAGTAGTGATTTACAAAAAGTAATAGGACAGTAAGTTGCAGGATGGCTTGAAGGGGGAATACTTAAGGACAAAGAGAAAAGTTAGTGAGCTGATTCAGTATTCATAACTCAGTCAACTTCCTAGTTCACATTTGGGAAGGAATGTGGTATAGTGAAAAGGACATAGGTCTCTGTAGCTAGGTGCTGTGATACATGTGAATAAGATCATCACAATCTAGCAGTTCATAATTTTTCCGGGAGTTACAGAGAATTTCTAGTTGAGAAGATTTGTGTTTTTCTCCATCCTCCCCAATGTCACACTCTGCAGTTTGTTTCACATGTAGGATCAAAAGATACAAATGCAGAAATGTTATACTTTTAAATATATATCTATAGGAATTAAAAATTTAGAGACTTATGCAATACCTTCATGTCCTAGGTGCTCTCATATGCATTATTTCACTTGATTTTACACAATAACTCTGGTAAATGATGTTATTTCTTTTTAACAGATCAGAATAATGAAACTCAGAGGTTAAATCGTTCCTTACTCATAAGAGGCAAGAAAAGCGGGGGTGGAGTGGGTTTCAAAAGCCCAAGTCTACTGACTATAAGTTTATTGTTTTAATATTTCAGTCTACCACCACTGCAGTGGAATAGCTGAATGCATGTGCCTAGTTCCGTCACAGTTAGCCTAAAGGGTGGGTAAGCCAAGTGTAGTATCCACAGATTATCAGCATGTATCCATTTGGGCATCAGTGTTTGTTTATACACACACACACTCACACTCTCCCACTCCCACTCAACCTTTAGAAAAAGAGAAAAAGGCAAATCACTGTCTATTTGAACTCTAGTATTAGCCATAGTGAAGGGAGATTTTGGTGACCTGCATGCTCATAATTCCCAAATGATTAGCTACTGGTTTTACACCTACCCTAAGCTGCTTATGTAAATTATCAGCAGGAAGTAAACCTGACTGTCAATTTCTGTAGCTCAAGGCTTCTCAGACTTTGATGAGCCTACAGATTACCTAGGGATCTTGTTAAAATGAAGATTCTAGTTCATTAGGATTGGGATAAGGCCTGGAATTCTGCATTTCTGACTGCTCAGGTGATGCTGATGTGGTTGGGCTTGCGCCTTGGCGTACATGTGCTGAATTTTAATTTTTGTCCCAAATACATAATTATTTATACAAAGCTGCAATTATAGTATATCCACTATTTGTGTTCTGTGCTTTTTTTATACTTAGCTTTTATCCCTATTTTCTGCATAATTTTCATAAATATGATTTTTAATTGATAGGTAAACTGTAGAGTTAATATAACATTATTAGAAATTTACATCTATTCTTAATTATTTTGCCATTCTAGATAATGCTGCATTGAATTCCTCTGAGCATATAGCTTTTCACTGTTTAATTATTTCCCTAAGATAAATCCCCAGGAGTAGTTACTAGGTCAAGGAGTAAGAATACCTTTGCTGTTTAATGGGTAGAGTTTCAGTTGTGCAAGATGAAAAGAATTCTGGAGATGGATGGTGGTGATGGTTGCACAACAGTGTGAATGTACTTAATGTCACTGAACTGTACTTGAATATGGTTAAGATGATAAATTTTATGTTATGTATATTTTGCCACAATTAAAAATGTTTCAAAATAAAAAGAAAGTTATCCCTCCCCCTCCCAAAAAAAGAATATCTTTGTATTTTGTTGCATAATAAGCCACTTGGCCTTTGAGAAGGAATGAACAAATTCAGTGCCACCAACATGTTTACCTACTTGTACCAATATTGAGCATCTTATGGTTTTTTCACATTTTTGCTAAATGATCTATAATGATTCTTTAAGGCAGCCTTAATTTGCATTTTATTTCTATCAACATTGAAATGTGAACATTTGCTCTTGTAGGGTTTTTTTACTATTTGTATTTCACTCTTACGTGACATGTACATTTATGTCCTTGGCCCTTGTTTCCATTAAGACACTGATCATTTTCTTTAGATTTAATAGAGCCCTGTCTATAGTATAATATTTTAAGTAAATATTTCTTCCAGTCTTTATTGTCTTTTTAATTCAGATTTAAGCAGTGAGTAACTTTATGATTTTACATCCTACAGGTGAACTATGGAAAAGTTTGTAATGACAGTAGAAAAGGATTGAAATTCACTGTCTCCTGTGGCTGCAGTTCAGAATTTGTTTTTGTACCATATGGTAGCACCATTGCTGTTTATACAATTTACTCAGGAGAACAGATAACTATGCTTAAGGGACATTATAAAAGTGTTGACTGCTGTGTATTTCAGTCTAATTTCCAGGTAAGAAGGATACTTAAGGGAATTTAAAATGCTCAGGTAGCTAGCTTGCCAGACTAGTCATATATAAAACAGCAAATTGCAATTTCATTCTGAGGAATTATACTTTGAATCCACATTTGAGCTAGCGTTTATTTAATAGAGGATAATACTGAATAGATGTTTAGATGACATAGGATGTATGCATGAATCAATATACTACTGTGCAACTTTCCTGGGATAAATTCTTTTTTTGCATATGGGCTCCATTTATTTAGCAGTTGAAAATCTGTGGCAAATTAATTTCTTGAAAACAATATTTTGGGGAAAAAATGGAATATATGTGTCTAATCTCAAAACGTAGTTTGTGTATCTCGATTTATGTTTGTATAAGTCTGTCTAAAATTTTTTTGTTTCCTTATTTTCTTGCAATGGCTAATAAGTTTGCTTTTGAGTTGATACAACTTACATAATTTCTTAAATACCTCTGGCTTTTGTTTGTTTAACATCCTGACCTTTCTCTTTAATCTCACCAATGGAGCAGACGGTTTTTTCAGAAAGCATTTGGACAGACTACTTCATGTGCTCTTTTAAATAAGTCTCTAATATAGCAAGACTGTTGATATTTTCCCTGGTTTCTAGGTAAGGAAAATGAGGCTCATGAAAGTTAAAAACTGATAGAATGAAAATTAGGGATTATTAGAGCTAGGAGGGACTTGAACTGTCACCTGGTGAAGCTCTTACTTATTCATTCATTAATACTGATTAGTTAATTTGTCTGACACCAAGCGGTAAGATATACAGAGCTGATTTTTCAGCCAGCACACATCAGTATGGCAATATCCATTATTGAAACATTCCAATACACATCCTACCGTTGGTTACGTAATTGTTGCACCAAGCCCCCTGAGTGACCTCCAGCTTCACCTCAACCTAGCAACTAACGGGGATCTTCAGGTCCCTGCTCTTCAGGACCCTGCTCCCCACTCTACAGCGAGTATCTCTTTTTTTTTTTTTTTCTGAGTTCATAATAGTTTACATCAATGTGAGCTTTCAGTTGTACAATATTACTTGACTGTCACCACATAAGTGCTCCCCTTCACCCCCTTTGCCCACCCCCCACCCCTCTTCCTCTGGTAACCACTGAACTGTTTTCTTTGTCCATCTATTTGTTTATATGCCGCATATGAGTGAAATCGTCTGGTGTTTGTCTTTCTCAGACTGGCTTATTTCACTTAGCATAATTCCTTCCAGGTCCTTCCATGTTATTGCAAATGGGATGAATGTGTCTTTTTTTATGGCTGAGTAGTATTCCATTGTCTACATATACCACATCTTCTTTATCCAATCATCAGTTGATGGGGCACTTGGATTGTTTCCATGTCTTGGCTATTGTGAATAGTGCTGCAACAAAAATAGGAGTGCATGTGCTACCTTGGATTGTTGATTTCAGATTGTTTGGGTAGATGCCCAGTAGTGGGATAGCTGCATCATATGGTAGCTCTATTTTTAGTTTTTTGAGGAATCTCCATACTGATTTCCATAGTAGCTGCACCAGTTTGCATTCCCACCAGCAGTGTATGAGGGTTCCCTTTTCTCCACACCCTCTCCAACATTTGTTATTTTTAGTCTTAGTGATTAGAGCCATTTTAACAGACATAAGGTGGTATCTTAGTGTAGTTTTGATTTGCATTTCCCTGATGATTAGTGATGTTGAACATCTTTTCATGTGTTTATTGGCCATCTGTATAGCTTGTTTGGAAAAATGTCTTCATATCCTCTGCCCATTTTTTGATCGGATTGTTGGGTTTTTTATTGTTCAATTGTGTGAGTTCTTTATATATTATGGAGATTAACCCCTTGTCAGATAGATGATTTGCAAATATTTTCTCCCAGTTGGTGGGTGGTCTCTTTGTTTTGATTCTAGTTTCTTTTGCCTTGCAGAAGCTCTTTAGTCCAGTGAACTCTCACTTGTTTATTTTTTCTTTTCTTTCCCTTGTGAAGACATCGTATTTGAAAAGATCCTTTTTAGTTCGACGTCATAGAGTATACTGCCGATATTATCCTCCAGGAGTTGTATAATTTCAGGATGTATCTTCAAGTCTTTGATCCATTTTGAGTTGATTTTTGTGCATGGTGTAAGGGAATGGTCTACCTTCATTCTTTTGCATGTGGCTGTCCAGTTTTCCCAACACCATTTATTGAAGAGACTATCTTTTCTCCATTGTGTGTTCTTAGCTGTCTGTAGATGCGTGGCTTTATTTCTGGGCTTTCAGTTCTGTTCCATTGATCTGTGTGCCTGTTTTTGTACCAGTACCATGCCATTTTGATCACTATGGCTCTGTAGTACATTTTGAAGTCAGGGATTGTGATATCTCCAGCTTTGTTCTTTTTTCTCAGGATTGCCTTGGCAATTTGGGGTCTTTGGTTACCCCAGATGAATTTTAGGATTCTTTGCTCTATTTCCATGAAGAATGTCATTGGGATTCTGATTGGGATTGCATTGAATCTGTAGATTGCTTTGGGTAGTATGGACATTTTAACTCTGTTTATTCTTCCAGTCCATGAGCAAGGAATCTCTTTCCATCTCTTTATGTCATTATCAGTTTCTTTCAGTAATGTCTTATAGTTTTCATTGTATAAGTCCTTCACCTCCTTGGTTAAATTTATTCCTAGGTACTTTATTCTTTTAGTTGTGATTGCAAATGGAATTGTATCCTTGAGTTCCCTTTTGTAGGTTCATTATTGGAGTATAGAAAAGCAACTGATTTTTGTAAGTTGATTCTGTACCCTGCAACTTTACTGTAGTTGTTAATTATTTCTGTTAGTTTTCTGAGGGATTTTTTGGAGTTTTCTATATATAAGATCATGTCATCTGCAAACAGTGCAAGTTGCACTTGTTCACTCCCTATTTGGATTCCCTTTATTCCTTTCTCTTACCTAATTTTTCTGGCCAAAACCTCCAGTACTGTGTTGAGTAAGAGTGGTGATAGTGGGCATCCTTGTCTTCTTCCTGTTCTCAGGGGGATGGTGTTCAGGTTTTGCCCACTGAGTATAATGTTGGCTGTGGGTTTGTCATATATGTATAGCCAGTATCTCTTGATTGGTCAATGTCTTGATGTACCACTTGTAAAATATTTTTCATGTTACTTCTAGGAGAAAAGCTAAAGCACCTGAGACATGACATGACTTACCTCAAACCTACAAGTAGTTATTGACAGAGCATAATTATCCATTGGAAGAGATTCTTAGAATACTCTTTTCTTGTCTGGAGTCACTTAAAGACACAGCCAAGATTTTTTTTTCAGTTATTTTAGTGAGGTCATAATGGCTTATAACATTGTGTAATTTAAGGTGTACATTATTATTTATCACTTTCTGTATGCACTGCATCATGCTCACCAACAATAGTCTAATTTTTATCCATCACCACGTATATGTGCCCCTTTACTCCTTTTACCCACTTCCCAAACTGTTTCTGCTCTGGTAGCCACTAATCTGTTCTCTTTGTCCATGTGTTTATCTTCCACTTATGAGTGAAATTATGCAGTGTTTATCTTTGTCTGGCTTATTTCACTTAACATAACACCCTCAAAGTCCATCCATGTTGTTGAAAATGGGATGATTTTGTCTTTTTTTTTTGGCTGAGTAGTATTCCATTGTATATATATAAATACCACATCTTCTTTATCCATTCTTTGATAGGCGCTCAGTTGATATGAGTTGCTTCCACATCTTGGGTATTGTGAATAATGTTCCAATGAACATAAGGGTGCATAAATCTCTTTGAATTGTTGATTTTAAGTTCTTTGCATAAATACCCAGTAGTAGGATAGCTGGATTCTGTAGTATTTCTGTTTTTAATTTTTTGAGAAATCTGCATACTGTTTTCCATAGTGGCTGCACCATTTTGCACTCCCATCAGCAGTGTATGAGGGTTCCCTTTTCTCCACATCCTCTCCAACATTTGTTATTTTTTGTCTTGGTGATTAGAGCCATTCTGATGGATGTAAGGTGATATCTCACTGTAGTTTTGGTTTGTATTTCCCTAACGATTAGTGATGTTGAACATCTTTTCATGTGCCTATTGGCTATCTGTATATCTTCTTTGGAAAAAATGTCTGTTCATATCCTTTGCCCATTTTTTGATCAGGTTGTTTGTTTTGTTGTTGAGTTGTATGAGTTCTTTATATATTTTAGAAATTAACTGTTTGTCGGATATATGATTTGCAAATGTTTTCTCCCAGATGGTGGGTTGTCTTTTCGTTTTGTTCATGATTTCCTTTGCCTTGCAGAGGCTCTTTAGTCTGATGTAGTCCCCTTTGTTTATTTTTTTCTTTTGTTTCCCATGCCTGAGTAGACATGGTATTCGAAAAGATGTTGCTAAGACCTGTGTCAAGGAGTGTATTGCCTCTGTTTTCTTCCAGGAGTTTTATGGTTTCAGGTCTTACATTCAAGTCTTTAATCCATTTTGAGTTAATTTTTGTGTATGGTCTAAGATAATGGTCTACTTTCATTCTTTTGCATTGACTATTCCCAACACTATTTATTGACTTTCCTTTCTCCATTATATGTTCTTGGCTTCTTTGTCAAAGATCAGCTGTCCATAGATGTGTGGTTTTATTTCTGGGCTTTCAATTCCGTTCTCTTGATCTGTGTGTCTGTTTTTGTGCCAGTACCATGCTGTTTTGATTGTTACAGCTTTGTAGTATATTTTGAAGTCAGAGATTGTGATGCCTCCGGCTTTGTTCTTTTTTCTCAGGATTGCTTTAGCTATTTGAGGTCTTTTGTTTGTTCCATATAAATTTTAGGATTCTTTGTTCTATTTCTGTGAAGAATGTCATTTGGATTCTGATTGAGATTACACTGAATCTGTAGATTGCTTTAGGTAGTATGGATATTTTAACTGTGTTTATTCTTCCAGTCCATCTGCATGGAATATCTTTCCATCTCTTTGTCATCTTCGGTTTCTTTCAATAATGTCTTACAGTATTGAGTGTATAGTTCCTTCACCTCCTTGGTTA